AAAATTTTTTCTTCTCATTCAAAAAAAAAAAAAATCTTCTTCTTGGGATTTTATGGCGGATGGCAAACAACAAAATAATGAATTACCGCCACTAACTGGATAGGAGTGTAGCTCAGGAATCTTTACTATTCTCTAAATCTAAAAATAAACTATTTAAGACATTTATAATCATTTACATCAATATTTAATAGAAAAGCTTAAATTCTATCAATTTCATTTTTCTTAAACATTTTTCTTTTGTAACTTGTTAATAGTCTGCTTTACTATAATTTATTTTAATACCAATATTTCTATGTTTCATAGTTTCTTTTGTCAATTCGCAAGCTACTTTATTTCCCGTGACTCCAATATGAGCTGGAATCTGCACAAATGACACAATTAAATCCATCATTTGAATTCTATATAAAGTACAACAAATCTCTAGTAAAACATCAGGTCGGCTCTCTGAATGGTTATATTTCAAGCTTGTTAATAGCACACTTGAATCAGAACAGATCACTGCTCTCAGAGGTCTCTCCTCTTCAACCCACTGTAATGCTATTAAAACTGCCAGCAGTATCTAGTATAAACTGCTACTCCATCATTTAAAAAATGTTTAATGCTTAATGTTTAATGGCGATGGGCAAACAGCCTTTTTGGGTGCAACACCGCCACCTGCTGTACTGGAGTGTGGATCAGAAAGGGTATTGTTTTTAATAACGCAAAATGAATGTACATAACTTTATAAAACAGTATACTTATTAGCATATATTAAATTATCTAGCTAAGTCCGGAACCTGTTTAAAAAAACACATGATAGTCCTGTAATCACATCCTCACCTTTTTTGCAACATTTCTTTCATTTCATTTCATTTTCATTATTTTAAATAACCTTTTGGAACACTGCAAGAAACGTATCTTTTGAAGTAAAATTTGAACCACTGGATCACATGATATGGAAACTACTACTTGGCCTATAAGAGCATTTATATGAAAATATTAATAAACAAGGTACTAACATACAGTACCATTCGTCATATATTAACAGAAAGTCAAAGTGTTTGTCATATGCACAATTAGGAAACATGTTTATTTGTACAATGAAATTCTTACTTTGCCATCCACATGTGTAACTTTCCTGATCAATATTGATATCAATTAACAGAGTGACTATTATTATTTGCTGATGATACAATGGTCACTGATGTCATCCGAGACAGCTGCCCATGTCTGTAGGCTTGAGCAGCTGGTCCTGTGGTGTAGCCGCAACAACCTAGAGTGGAACACACTCAAAACAGTGGAGATGACAGTGGAATTTAGGAAGCCCCCCCCTTGGCTGCATTCATCCTTCCCTCGATTGCAACCAGTCGTCCTGTCCCTGCAGCTGAAAAACACCCCCATAGCATGATGCTGCCACCACCATGCTTCACTGTTGGGACTGTATTGGACAGGTGATGAGCAGTGCCTGGTTTTCTCCACACATACCGCTTAGAATTAAGGCCAAAAAGTTCTATCTTGGTCTCACCATCTTGGAGTCCCCTTCAGGTGTTTTTTAGCAAACTCCATGCAGGCTTTCATGTGTCTTGCACTGAGGAGAGGCTTCCGTCGGGCCACTCTGCCATAAAGCCCCGACTGGTGGAGGGCTGCAGTGATGGTTGACTTTCTACAACTTTCTCCCATCTCCCGACTGCATCTCTGGAGCTCAGCCACAGTCATCTTTGGGTTCTTCTGTACCTCTCTCACCAAGGCTCTTCTCCCCCGATAGCTCAGTTTGGCCGGACGGCCAGCTCTAGGAAGGGTTCTGGTCGTCCCAAACGTCTTCCATTGAAGGATTATGGAGGCCACTGTGCTCTTAGGAACAGGAAGTGCAGCAGAAATTTTTTTGGAACCTTGGCCAGATCTGTGCCTTGCCACAATTCTGGCTCTGAGCTCTTCAGGCAGTTCCTTTGACCTCATGATTCTCATTTGCTCTGACATGCACTGTGAGCTGAAGGGTCTTATATAGACAGGTGTGTGGCTTTCCTAATCACGTCCAATCAGTATAATCAAACACAGCTGGACTCAAATGAAGGTGTAGAACCATCTCAGGGATGATCAGAAGAAATGGACAGCACCTAAGTTAAATATATGAGTGTCACAGCAAAGGGTCTGAATACTTATGACCATGTGATATTTCAGTTTTTCTTTTTTAATAAATCTGCAAAAATGTCAAAAATTCTGTGTTTTTCTGTCAATATGGGGTGCTGTGTGTACATTAATGAGGAAAAAAATGAACTTAAATGATTTTAGCATAGGGCTGCAATATAACAAAGAGTGAAAAATTTAAGGGGGTCTGAATACTTCCCGTACCCACTGTATGTTCAGTATTTTCAGGGCGATCTTTCAGCACTCAGCATCCATACGCATTTTCTTCAGAAAGTGCATTTCTCTAGTTATTGATGCATCCATTGTGTTCATCACTTTAATGTTGCAGCTTGTGGGGAAGCTAGTTTTAACTTAACTGAAATGCTTCTGACTGGAATTACTCTAGGTTAACAAGTGAATTTTCCACCAAGATCAATAAAGTGTTATGACTATACTGATTTTTTTTTATTATTCTGATTCTGGAAAGTCTGTAAAAGGAGAAACCACTTGTGTCTGAAAACTGTGGATATACTGTTATTTCTGAATAAAAACTCATAAACATTTACACAAGCACACCCTCTTTACCCACATACCAATGAACCTCTTTACCAATGAACCCCAAAACAAGCTTTGCCGAAATCCATACTATAATCTGTATTTGCACCAGTCCAATGTGAAAATGACATCTGTCTGAATTTGTAGACCACATCTCATGAATGTAGCAGCAACATTTAAATGTTTTCATAACACAAAATATAAGTGAGGAGCATATAGGGTTACACTCAGACGTGCCACATAAGAAACATGGTCTTCAACATGTGTGCATGTTTATTTTAATTTTTTTTTTTGTGTCAACTTGAAATCATACCATCATGTAGTGCAGTCGAACAGGAATGTGCGTGGCGAATCAAATCCCAAACAATCCATGAACCAATAAGCGACACGTCTTGACTGCATTTCAATTTCTTGACAACTAGATGTCCTACTCGAGCACTGTGTCATTGAAGCCTCGGGTAATGAAGCATTTGTGTGAATACTGTAGAAGCGTCATCGGCCATCACTACATGTACACTGAGAACCGATGTACCAGAGTCAAATTCATCATGTGTCCGACACACCTGGCTAATGAAGCATATTCTGATTAAATCTTTTTTATTCCACGTGGAAGTCTGTGGAATTCACATATGCGACTTGGATTCGCTGTGGCGACCCCTAATGGGGACAGCCGAGAGATAAGTATTAGTAATTGCGTTTTGTATTCTCACTGTCATGAGCTGAATCAAACACGATTGAAGTCCTCAATACTAAACAATAAAAAATATTAAAACAAAAAACACACTTTAAAATCTCAGCATTTCCCGCAAAGTAATCATTCAACTAACTGTAATAAACAAACTAACTGGATCGGTTTAAGCTGTTCTGTCGCCAATGAATTTCCTCTACACTGATCATTTGTAAATCTAAGATGGTATGCTAAAAGCTAAGCTAGCTAGCTCGTGACGGCACTGCAGTCAGCTGATTCATTCACGTGACAGCCTTTTTTTAATTTCGTGCATGTCTATTCACGGGTGCTGTGAAGGGTTTCGGCGAATCTATTTTATACGACGGAAACGTAGTTAATATTAAAGTTAGTGTAGGGGACCCGCGAAGAATCCGTGGCTGAAGATATCGGGTCGTATTCAAAGGGCTATGTTACTAAAAACACATTGAGTCCGCACAAAGAGGAGCAGCCACACGGTTAGCTAAACTGCACTATTGGTAAGTTGTTTCCTGTGTTAACCTTAGAGTTATTTTCACAGGTTTGACATTACATTCACGAAACGAAAAGACTAATGATCTCTCTCGATCAGCCATTATCTTGATTCCTTTTCATTTATTGAATCGACTAACAAACAAGCCCCCTTAACAAAATGTGATAATTAAATGCTTCTTTTCCTATAGTAAGGTATAATATCTGTTATGCACACATTTCTGTCCTATAACAACCCAAACGACCCAGTTTATAATTCGGCACGTAATACATTCACCAAAAACACTTATTTAAAGTACATAGGCCTATAAGTTTGAGTTTGATCTTTCGTAGGCTAATCGTCCACCAAAACACAACGAGATGGGTGGACACCAATTCTAAATATTTACTGAAAGAAAGTTGTATGCCGAAATAGTCAGTGTGTGCCATTAAACACGGGAAGCATTTCTAACTTGTCACAGTCTTTTAAACGCATTTGTGTATGTAATAAAACAGATTTTTGAAAGGAGTCTGGTTAAAAGACAGTGCTGTATTCTTTCATTAAGGAGTTTTGCAGTGAGTGCATTAAAGCTTCTTGAATATTACACACTTTTCTGATTTGTACTTCTTCTTGTCTTTCTATTTTCAGATGTGCTGTGCAAGCCAATAGATATTTTTGTGTTCACCCTTGAAAATAACCTCCAGAATGAGTCCAGAGAGGAAGAGGCTTTTAAACATCATTGTCCTAGGCTTTGGCTTTATGTTCATGTTCACTGCTTTTCAAACATGTGGCAATATAGAGGTAGGGTGGACTGACTAATGCATATCCACAATGACTACATGCAATATAAAGATAATTCAGACTTCTAATTCTTAACCATCATTTTTCTACATTTTACAGCAAACTGTTATCAAGAGCTTCAACAGCACTGAGTTCAGTGGGAGTGGATACACGAGGTAAACTGTTGGTATCCTAACAGCAACATACACTTGCATTATGTTTTACATTTTGAGTTTTATATGACGCTCCAGTACACAATATCTGTACAGATTTATAGACCACAGACTTTCCCTGGTGCCACCTTCTGTTATCAAACCTGTCCCATTCATAAATCCCTAAAGAATATTTAAATCTTAGTTAAACCATTTCCTGGAGCAAAGTTTACTTTGTGTTCAGTGTACATCAGTAAATCAGACTTACCTGTCATGTAAGCAAGAGAAAGCTCTGAAAGCACAGAACAGCCAAAATGCTATAATGCAGCAGTATCTGTCTCATATCCTACTCAGGTTTCTCACTCACCATTTACAAAGGTGGATGATCTGAATCCATTTGTGCTTCCACTGGGTTTATCTCCTTTATTCTTCTCTGGTGTAAATGTACTTAAACTTTGACATGTCATTGTCAGTGCTGGAAAATGTGTTGATGACTATTACAAAATATCACACTCTAAAAATACTGTGTTACCAGTTAAAAGTCTTTATTGCAGATAAAGTAAATGACCTATGTGGCTGTCATGCAAGTATACATCATGTCATTAGATTGTCATTTTTGAATTGTCAACATAAAAGTATGAATTTTCTGTTGTAGTTGGTTGAGATCATTTTGAACAGGACTGCAACTAATGATTACTTTCATAGAGAATTAATCTGCTGCTAAATGTTTTGATTAAATGGCTGGTTGTTTGCTTTAGTAAGAATTCAGACATTTGTGAGGAATGCTGTGACAGTGACCCAGAGGGACACCTTTTTACTTTTCTGTCTGGCCAATAATTTGACTCAAAATTATTAAAAACAAATTACACTAACAAATAATATAAGGAAAAAGTCAATCCTCATATTTGAGAAGCTGGAGCAATGAAATATTTGGCATTTTTGCATTAAAGATGAGTCATTTGTAAAATAGTTTCCAGGTAATATTCTGTCCATTGGAAAAAATGTACAATTGAACTAAGCGTATTTTATTATCTCTTCATACACTTTTATATAAAAACCTAACAATTGTAGTAGAGTAAAACATTTATTTCCATCTGAAATGTAGGACAGTAGAAGCAGAAAGTGACATGAAAAGAATAATAATGCACAAGTTTCAAATTTGTACCCAAGTTCAGTACTTGAGTAAATGTACTCAGTTACTTTCCACCACTGGCGTTTGTGGTGTTGGATATTGTTGACCAGCTGCCATTAATCCTCGTGTACTTAAGCTCTTTCTAGCACTGTCATGTTTGTATTTTTTGGTTGGTCAGACTGGAATGGCAATAGACATTAACAGTCTTGTTGTCCTTTACTTGTAGCATGGCCATCATCTATGGTGTTTTCTCTGCGTCCAACCTGATTGCTCCTTCGGTGGTGGCTGTCATTGGGCCGCAGCTATCAATGTTCTTTAGTGGGCTTCTGTACAGGTGAGCCTACACTCACTATCATCAGCCCAGCATGAACCTTTTCTTGCTAAATCAGACCTCTGATGCATCTTTATACTGTTTTCTACAGTGGCTATATCGCCATGTTTATTTACCCGTACACTTGGAGCTTCTATACAGCATCTGTGTTGGTTGGAATAGCAGCAGCAGGTAAAAAAAACAAACAAAAGACATTATCTGGCAAATAGTTTTGTGTGGGGAAATAGGCCTTTTTTGCAAGTATGTGTATTGATCTTTTCATTACTTTACACTAGTGCTCTGGACGGCTCAGGGAAACGTGCTTACGATTAACTCCACTGACGGCACCATTGGAAGAAACAGTGGCATATTTTGGGCACTGCTGCAGTTCAGGTAAACCTTTTGTGCCAGCGTGTACCTGACCTGGAAATTCCTTAGTTTTGTGTTTCAACCTGACATGAAGATTAAGAAATAAAACATAGTCCACCTTAAAAAAATTCACAAACTCAGCGGTTTTTGTACCAGATCATAATTTGTACCAGATAGAATTATTATCCTATTAAATTATTTCTAATAACCAGGTAATAGTATTATGAGGAAAGTAGCTGGAAAATATAGAGCCTCTAAAATAAAGTGTTACCAAGATTATAAAAGAGAAAAACCCATGGACTGAGCAACTGTGTAATTTGTAGTACATGTTTTTTGTGGTGATTTTGTCTCTTTTTTTTAAATAATTTTGTCTATTTCTACTTTTGTATTTCTTTGTATTTTTAGCTTTGTAGTGGTTTTGAGCCTAGTTGACTAATTTTGTGACTTTTTTAGTTGTCTTGTATTACGATATAGTTGACTTTTGAGGTTATTTGAGATAGTTTTAAATCTCTTTTTAGTTTTTTTTTGTTTGTTTGTGTGTCTGTTGTCTTGTGTATCCTTGTAGTCATTTTTGTCTCTTTGCCTCTGGCTCTGGTCCAGGGGTCCTCTGATTCTGTCATAGTCCACCCATGCTTTTATGAGTACTTCTTTAGGTTTGAATGCCAAATTAGTTCAACATCCTTCATGTCTCTGCAGCTTATTCTTTGGAAACTTATACATATACTGTGCCTGGCATGGACACGATCACATAACAGGTAAGAAACATGCTGGGTTTTATAAAAATCTCTGCCTCATATGTACTGTGTGTGTGTGTGTGTGTGTGTGTGTGTGTGTGTGATTGTTGCTATTAATACGTTACTAGTTCCCATGCTGACTTCTTGCAAGAAGTTTCATTTTAAGGATGTGATTCATGTTGTTTGTCTCAGACAAAGACCGCCAGACGGTGTTCATCTCACTAACGGTGATCAGCCTGGTCGGTTGCTTCCTCTTCTTCCTGATCCGGAAGCCTGATCCTGAGTCTGCTCCTTCTGACCTTTCTGAGGGAGAACTCATAGAGGACTCCTCTATAGCTACGTGAGTGTTATCAGGATTTCCATGAGTCCTTCCATAAGTTCTGTCAATATTTGTCACAATATGTCAGTTCTGGAAAGTTACAAAACTAATTCAGATGTTCTGAAGAAAAAGATGAGTTGTCTTTGCAAAGCTTTCAATGGGCAACAGAATTATGACCTGCTTGCCATATAACCGTTCACAGGTGTCAGTGTCACTGAAATGTCCAGAAGAGGGACTGGAGGAAAGGATGACTCATGGCTCTAAAAATGTGTTTCCTTGAGTCCTTTGTCCTCGCATTTTTACCCTGCATCTTATGTGGGTGAGACTAAGGCACAAGGAAAAGATGCAAGTGAAGGAAACACATATGAAATTAAGGGAACTGTGATGTACCCACTGTTCAGCTCATAATGACTTTTAAAAGAAAGTGAGAGCGCATGCAAACTAGTCTTCATTGAAGCTCAAGCACTGAGTTTCTTACATTAAATTAAACCCAAAAATCCTCATTTGCCACAGCTAATTAAGGCAGTTTTTAAGGGTCAGTTCTGGAAATACTGAGTGGTAATGTAAAGAAAAAAGGTGGGAAGTCAGTGACTGATGAAGAGGGAGGAAATGTAATACAATGCAAGATTTGAGTACAAACACTTAGTGACCTAAAGAACAGAGCACTTTGCATGAGCTGCTGCTCTGCACATGATCACCACCTTTACTACAGCCTGTGATTGAGTTCATTTTCCACAACCGGAGGTTCATACTGAATAAAATGTACTGCGAGGGGGTCAGATTTACTATGTTTGAGCATCTTTTCTAGAATACTCCCTTATTCACACCGTCGGCATAAAATAACCTAACGTTTATTAAACAAGACATAAAAAAAAATCACAAAAAACACTATTGAAAGTACCCTGGGAGTCTTTTGGAAAATACTTCTTTAAGGGACGGACAGGAGCTAGGAGCCTTGGGCATCCCTTCTGGAGGAGGAGTTTGGTGGAGGAGTACAGGACAGGTGACCTTTGACTGTAAATGCTCTCCTTTGTTGTCTTTCTTACATTCCTCTTTGAAGCCTCTGTGAAAAAGTTGCTACAGCAACCACATCCAGTTTAGGGATGAGATTATAGGTGAAAATGTCCAAGGAAAATTATGAGCTTGC